ATTACGGTGTCCACCAGACCGCCGGTGATCTGCCTCTGGTTCGGGAACCAAGACTTGTTGCGGACGTGTGTTTTGGTCCGCCGGCGCCGGCGGTGGGCGTTGTGCTGGAACTCTATGAACGACGCGGTGAGTCTTCGGGGCAGCATTAGCCGTAGGTCTCCGCACTCGTAGGCGGTGGCCAACCGGTCGCCGATAGGTATGGCCGACGAGTCGGCGCTGGGATTGGACGGAGTGATTGTGTCGGCGCCGGAGAGTTGGGTCCGGAATAGGTTTGATGTCCGCTTCAGTGAGTCGATGATGAACTCGACGAATGCCATTCTTCCGGAGGGCGAGCGGTGGACATGAAAATGAGATAATCGTTATTAATAGTAAATTGTTTATCAATCAAATTATAAGACATTAAGACATAGACATCGCGAGTGTTTGTCAATGCCATCACTCGATGGCATACCTATTATCGCAATCGTCTTCTTTGCCGAAGAGTTGACTACTCATGAAGTCTCGGGTGTCGTAATGGATAAGAGTGACCACTCCGTCGTCGATCGGGTGACCATCAATCAGACAACACCTCAACGACAGCTGATTGTCCGTAAAGTGTAATTCGCACCAAAACTCGTGACCACCGGAACCAGACTTGCGGTCACCGTTCAGACCATTATCATCGGCGGTAAGTCGATGTCCTCCTCCGCCACCACTAATATCGGTTCCGTTGGCGGCGCCGATGTCCGCGCTGTCAATGGTTCCCAACATATGAATGTCTGTGCCGTCATCGGTGGTAGAGGTGGTGGTGTCGGCGGCGGTGGCCAACGATTGGGACAGTTGTCTCCCTCCGGAGCCGAGTTTGGCCAACAATCGGCGCGAAGTCATTGCCGTAATGTTCACATTCAGTGACCTCTTGTCCACCCGATGGTAGCCGAAGAGCAGACCGTTTGGCGATACAAACAGTTTGGTCGGTATGAATATATTCACCGATGATATGCCGTCCATGTCTTCAGTGTCTTCAGATGGGATCAGTTGGTAGTGATGTTTGTGTCTTTGATTTGCTTTTTAAATCACTATTTAATTCAATGATTTAATCGCTAAACACATGGCTTTCATAACACTGTTGTTGTAATTGCAATGCAAACCGATTGTAAACATTGAGTTTTAGCCATAGATTACGTCCGGTATATGTATTGCGAGTATTAATGTGTGTTTCCATTGGTTTTAATGGCTTTGACGCCCATTAAGGGTCTGATAATTGTGTTGAATATCTGGACGTAATTTGTGTGATATTTCGCATATTTTGTTTGCATTTAAATGACATTTAATTTACAGTTAGTGTTAATTAAATGTAAATATTATTTAAAGTTTTGTTTTGACTTATTTATAAGATTACAGTCTATGACAGCAATACGTTATAACTCTATGGGCTGTGATTATGGGTTAAGAGTGTCGTAATGTTAAACGTATGGATAATTTGTGGTTAAGTTGTGGTTTTGCTGTAAATTTACTGTTAATTTAATTTTTATGTAGTTTTTTAGTTAAAAGTTTGTTTTATTGATAAAACAGTTGTTTGTATGTAATTATAAGACCAGTTGTGATGCTATAATGCATTGCAGTTTGTGTTATTTCAAAACCATCACGATCGTGAAGTTGTTTAACATGTTTTCCAGGTATAATATGTTGAGTGTTTACCTGTAATTTACCTGTTTATTTATAGTGAACATCCGTTATAATACATACAGTGTATTTAAAACTGTGTTAGTTTTGGTGTACTTTAAATAAAATGTAAAGTTTTTGTTAAACTAATGAACCGTTTAGTGACGTGTGTTTTTTCTGGCGAAAAATCTTTTTCTTTGTGGTGAAAAACCTTTTATTTTTGGGTTTAATTTTATGATATTTTTTGTTTAAAAAGTTTTTCTCATTGAATTTGTTAGCAATTTATAAGTTTGTTGTATAAAAGTTATATTTATTGTAACACAATATGCAGTGAAAACATGCATTTCCTATGAGTTTCGCTATATTTAAATCAATTATAAGGAAAACTAACTATAAGTTAATTATACGAAAATATAAAACAACTGTTTGTTTCATAATAACTAATCTTAAGTTATGTTAACTTATCTTAACTTATCTTTAAGTTATCTTAACGTTATTTTAAATAATTATTAATATTCATAGAGTATTTCAACACATATTTCATATGAAAAAAATTATATAAAATATTTTTGTTAATTCACTAATAAATATCGTATTTGTTATAAAAGTATTTAAAACCGCAAAAATCTACCGCAAAATAGCCTTAAATTTCAATTATTGTTTTTAGTTATAAATTAAAAGTTTTAATTACTAATTAAAACACTATCACAACAATCATGAGGAGTGTAACAGTGAGAGCGCCGGTTAACATAGCGGTCATCAAGTATTGTACGTATAGTTTAAATACATCTTGAAATTATTTATTAATTTAATTACATTTAACTCTTGGTTAAAATACAGGGGGGAAACTGGACGAGAATCTCATTATACCGTTAAACGATTCCATTAGCGGCACCCTATCTATTGACGACATGTGCGCCCACACGACAGTCGCCTGTAGTGATCAGTTTACCGACGATAGGATGTGGTTGAATGGCGAGGAGGTGGACATCTCGGCCAATAAACGGCTCGTTAATTGTCTTAAGCAAAGTGAGTCCACACCTAAACCACAATTCTCTCTCTCTCTCTCTCTCTCTCTCTC